GGCAGAAGCAGGCAGGGCTGACCCTCCAGCAGTGCCAGCTTCAGGCTTCGCGAGGGAGCAGTCGTCAGGAACGCCCTCCCCGAGGCTGCAGTTACACATTCCAAGTCAGCCGTGAGCACTCTCCTCTGAACTCCTTTAAAGCGATGGCTTAAAACAAAATTTAAAAAATCTAAACATCTAAAATATCCTAAAGAACAAAATGCAGGAAAACCGAACCTTTACCAAGAACCAATATTTTAGGTGGCTCTGTGGTAGGAGCACTTTAAAAAAGCGAGTCCACTCTAAGAGGGAGACGCTTGATTTCTACAAACAACCTTCCCCTCTCTGGACGACACCCCAAATCAGAACCCACCCACCACCGTTCACTCCATGCCCACCTGCGCAATGACCTGGGTCTCAAGTGACGCTGCGTATGAGCTTACAGAAAACGTTCCAAAGGAAACCGCTAGCTTCTTTCACAGCCCGCGAGTTTCCTGAGAAACGTAACTTGAGGATTTCCATCTGAAGGACAGAATGTTAGGAGGCAATCTGCAAGCCTCACACACATCACATACCTTCCAATAACGCATTACATTCTGTGCGAATCTGCCCTTGTTAAACTAGAAACCTCTCCAGTATCAAATCTTCCACTCCATAAACTCTTTAAGCACCTCCCTCTAACCTCAACGTCCTTATGTTCTCATTATTTGGTAAAATTGCACTTAAAAAGTAAATACGCAATAAAACCAGAAGATGAATAAAATTTCAATTATTTGCTCTGCAGAGCTGGATGGAAGTGAGGAAGTTGCTCTTATGTAATTCCTCTCTGCCCTCCACACTCTCATGTCTATCTGCTTCCTGGTGAGTCTGGGTTGAGGGACTCATGAAGCAATGTTAGAACTTAAAGGAGGAAGAGCTGGCAAAGCTGGCAAATGCCAAGTAGGCAATTTCTCCTGAAATGAAGGTAGGTTCACTTGGTCTCTTCTAAACAGAAGAGAATGTCCAAGAAATGAAATGTTTAAAAAGCCACCGAAGATACAACTAACCCCAGCACTGGGTCCTCTGAGGCTCATGGGGTCCTCTGAGCGCTCATGGGGTCCTCTGAGGCTCATGGGGGCCTCTGAGCACTCATGGGGTCCTCTGAGGCTCATGGGGGCCTCTGAGCACTCATGGGGTCCTCTGAGGCTCATGGGGGCCTCTGAGCACTCATGGGGTCCTCTGAGGCTCATGGGGGCCTCTGAGCACTCATGGGGTCCTCTGAGGCTCATGGGGGCCTCTGAGCACTCATGGGGTCCTCTGAGGCTCATGGGGGCCTCTGAGCACTCATGGGGTCCTCTGAGGCTCATGGGGGCCTCTGAGCACTCATGGGGTCCTCTGAGGCTCATGGGGGCCTCTGAGCACTCATGGGGTCCTCTGAGGCTCATGGGGGCCTCTGAGCACTCATGGGGTCCTCTGAGGCTCATGGGGGCCTCTGAGCACTCATGGGGTCCTCTGAGGCTCATGGGGGCCTCTGAGCACTCATGGGGTCCTCTGAGGCTCATGGGGGCCTCTGAGCACTCATGGGGTCCTCTGAGGCTCATGGGGGCCTCTGAGCACTCATGGGGTCCTCTGAGGCTCATGGGGGCCTCTGAGCACTCATGGGGTCCTCTGAGGCTCATGGGGGCCTCTGAGCACTCATGGGGTCCTCTGAGGCTCATGGGGGCCTCTGAGCACTCATGGGGTCCTCTGAGGCTCATGGGGGCCTCTGAGCACTCATGGGGTCCTCTGAGGCTCATGGGGGCCTCTGAGCACTCATGGGGTCCTCTGAGGCTCATGGGGGCCTCTGAGCACTCATGGGGTCCTCTGAGGCTCATGGGGGCCTCTGAGCACTCATGGGGTCCTCTGAGGCTCATGGGGGCCTCTGAGCACTCATGGGGTCCTCTGAGGCTCATGGGGGCCTCTGAGCACTCATGGGGTCCTCTGAGGCTCATGGGGGCCTCTGAGCACTCATGGGGTCCTCTGAGGCTCATGGGGGCCTCTGAGCACTCATGGGGTCCTCTGAGGCTCATGGGGGCCTCTGAGCACTCATGGGGTCCTCTGAGGCTCATGGGGGCCTCTGAGCACTCATGGGGTCCTCTGAGGCTCATGGGGGCCTCTGAGCACTCATGGGGTCCTCTGAGGCTCATGGGGGCCTCTGAGCACTCATGGGGTCCTCTGAGGCTCATGGGGGCCTCTGAGCACTCATGGGGTCCTCTGAGGCTCATGGGGGCCTCTGAGCACTCATGGGGTCCTCTGAGGCTCATGGGGGCCTCTGAGCACTCATGGGGTCCTCTGAGGCTCATGGGGGCCTCTGAGCACTCATGGGGTCCTCTGAGGCTCATGGGGGCCTCTGAGCACTCATGGGGTCCTCTGAGGCTCATGGGGGCCTCTGAGCACTCATGGGGTCCTCTGAGGCTCATGGGGGCCTCTGAGCACTCATGGGGTCCTCTGAGGCTCATGGGGGCCTCTGAGCACTCATGGGGTCCTCTGAGGCTCATGGGGGCCTCTGAGCACTCATGGGGTCCTCTGAGGCTCATGGGGGCCTCTGAGCACTCATGGGGTCCTCTGAGGCTCATGGGGGCCTCTGAGCACTCATGGGGTCCTCTGAGGCTCATGGGGGCCTCTGAGCACTCATGGGGTCCTCTGAGGCTCATGGGGGCCTCTGAGCACTCATGGGGTCCTCTGAGGCTCATGGGGGCCTCTGAGCACTCATGGGGTCCTCTGAGGCTCATGGGGGCCTCTGAGCACTCATGGGGTCCTCTGAGGCTCATGGGGGCCTCTGAGCACTCATGGGGTCCTCTGAGGCTCATGGGGGCCTCTGAGCACTCATGGGGTCCTCTGAGGCTCATGGGGGCCTCTGAGCACTCATGGGGTCCTCTGAGGCTCATGGGGGCCTCTGAGCACTCATGGGGTCCTCTGAGGCTCATGGGGGCCTCTGAGCACTCATGGGGTCCTCTGAGGCTCATGGGGGCCTCTGAGCACTCATGGGGTCCTCTGAGGCTCATGGGGGCCTCTGAGCACTCATGGGGTCCTCTGAGGCTCATGGGGGCCTCTGAGCACTCATGGGGTCCTCTGAGGCTCATGGGGGCCTCTGAGCACTCATGGGGTCCTCTGAGGCTCATGGGGGCCTCTGAGCACTCATGGGGTCCTCTGAGGCTCATGGGGGCCTCTGAGCACTCATGGGGTCCTCTGAGGCTCATGGGGGCCTCTGAGCACTCATGGGGTCCTCTGAGGCTCATGGGGGCCTCTGAGCACTCATGGGGTCCTCTGAGGCTCATGGGGGCCTCTGAGCACTCATGGGGTCCTCTGAGGCTCATGGGGGCCTCTGAGCACTCATGGGGTCCTCTGAGGCTCATGGGGGCCTCTGAGCACTCATGGGGTCCTCTGAGGCTCATGGGGGCCTCTGAGCACTCATGGGGTCCTCTGAGGCTCATGGGGGCCTCTGAGCACTCATGGGGTCCTCTGAGCAGTCATGGGGTCCTCTGAGGCTCATGGGGTGCGAGGATGAGAAAAGCATCAAGTAGCAGCATTCAGAAACAGTCCTGGGTTACAACCTGTGAGATCCCTCCCCATTCAGGAGAGGCTACTTTGCATGCTGGGAGGGAGGTGGGAAGGAAGCACCGCTGAGCCGTTGGTGGTGGGAGTCACCAGGCTGCCTGCTGTTCATTTCAAAGGCGCCTCTCTCAGCTCTGTTAGCCGTGTGCCGGCCCTGCAAAGGCTCATGCACTTTCCTCAGAAGTCCTGCCGCGGGTCTCAGGAACGTTCAAGAAGGCCAAGACCAAGAAGATCACAAGGAGGCCAGTGAGGACAATAAACACGCAGGGTCAGGGAGAGAACGCAGCTGCTGGGAGAGCAACCCACCCGAGAAGCTGGAGGGCCAGTGGGAGCAGCTGCCACGGCCAGGCAGCCGCGCGGGCCCCTGGCTGAAGAGTTCGGCCACAATACACCAGGGACTGGGCCTGGGCCAAATTCAAAGAAGGCCGCGAGCACCAGCACAGCCCAACGCCAGTGTAGCTTGTCCAGCTACACTCACCCTCTAATACAGTGGGGCCTTGACTTACGAGTTTAATTCGTTCCGTGACGGAGCTCGTAACTCAAATTACTCGTATGTCAAATCAACAGTGAACGAGTGAGACACATGATGCTGGGCTGATGTTGTGGCGTTCACTGTGACATTCGCTGCGCCAACTAGCGGTGGGGTATCTGAAGCTGGCTCATAACCCGAATTTTAGCTCGCAACTCAAAGCAAAAAATCGGCCGAGAGACGGCTCGTATCTCAAAAAACTCGTTAGTCGGGACACTCGTAAATCAAGGCCCCACTGTACAGTGATGGCGAACCTATGACACGCGTGTCAGAGGTGACACGTGAACTCATTTTTTTTGGTTGATTTTTCTTTGTTACATGGCATTTAAATATATAAAATAAATATCAAAAATATAAGTCTTTGTTTTACTATGGTTGCAAATATCAAAAAATTTCTATATGTGACACGGCACCAGAGTTAAGTTAGGGTTTTTCAAAATGCTGACACGCCAAGCTCAAAAGGTTCGCCATCACTGCTCTAATACATGGACAAAGTCGCGAGGATGGAACAAGAAGCCGTTCCTCCAAGGCCCATCCGGTGTAGAGTCTCCTTCCTGCCCTTTCCATCAGAAACAGAGACACTGCAGTGAAGACAGGGTGAGCCACGCCGGCACCAATGCTGGCGGCAATGCTGCTCCCTCCACCAGGACTGCTCCCCACTCCCTGGCCTCTCCATCTCCCGAGGCTGCCCCTCCATCTCCTCAGGGGTGCTCCTCCATCTCCTGAGGCTGCTCCTCCATCTCCCCAAGGCCACTCCTCCATTCCTGGGGCTGCTCCTCCATCTCCCCAAGGCCACTCCTCCATCTCCTGAAACTGCTCCTCCGTCTCCTGAACCTGCTCCTCCGTCTCCTGAAGCCGCTACTCCATCTCACCAGGGCTATCCCTCCATCTCCCCAAGGCCACTCCTCCATCTCCCCAGGGCCGCTCCTCCATCTCCCCAGGGCCGCTCCTCCATCTCCTGGGGCTGCTCCTCCATCTCCTGAGGCTGCTCCTCCATGTCCTGGGGCTGCTCCCCTCTCTCCCTGGGGCTGGAGGCGCTCCGGTCACTGGTCACGCAGGCCACGTGCACTTCACATGCTGCTTTCTATGAGGCTCTTTCCTGCCCAAGTGTCTTCCTCTCCCCAGTTTCTTTAAAGTCTCACTGCATCAGATACGGCTTTAGGAGCTTCTCAAAATTAGTTTTGGAACAAAGGAGTTTGGGAAGGGTTAGATTTTCTCTAGCTGTTTTCTTGGCTCTCAAATTTTCCTCAGGCCATTTGGGCTGGTGTTTCATTTCTATCTTGTTTTTTAAATATGCTTATTCATTTTAGAGAGAGTGGCAGGGAAAGAGAGAAACACCCACTGGTTGCCTCCCCCACGCACCTGACTACACCACTACTGTGCTGGACCAGGAAGACAACCTACAGGCGACACTCCCACTGACCGAGAGCCGCACTGGCCGGGGGGGCTGGTGGGGCTGGCGCTTCTTACCAGCAGCTGAGCATCAGAGTCCCTGGGGGAAACCTGTAACACAACCCGAGGCCCTTATCAGACCAATGAGATCAGGCTCGGGCTCAGGCCTTCCAGGCTCCCTGCGGCTCTCCTCTGGGCATGAAACCGCCCAGTGGGCCTCGGCTTCCAGCCCATCAGGGAGTTCCCAAACCAGCTGAGCAAAACGCCTTGTTTTGCCTTGTTTTTCCTTCCGCCTTCATTTTGACACTTTCTCCTTCTCAGACAGTGAAAGGGAAAACTACACGTACCCTAGGAAACAGACACAGGGGCTCGCCACTGCACTCTCCCATGCCGCCGGGAGACAGTGGACATTATATGTGCAACTTGGTTTTAAAAACTGACAAGTACTGGATCCATCCTGTGGCTCTTTCTCTCGTTGAGTGTGCATGGGCATGCTCGACAACTGGCAGGGTCCCCACACCCTCTCTGACCCCCCGGGGAGGCTAAGGTTGGAAGAATGTGTGGAAGTGTCTGACCGTACTTCCCGACAAAGATGATAAACCAGCAGCAGTCCTACACTCCCGGAGGGCGCGGGGTCTCAAAGATTAACGCTCCCACCAAGGACTTCAAAGCAGCAGTGACACCTCTCACACTCCCAGGTAACCCACCTGTTTGTCCATGCAGAAGTCTGCTGGGTCTTAGAAAATGACTATAGACTTTGACACACCTAGGAGACTGCGGGTTCATTCCAGATCACTGCTAAAAAGCAATTATCGCAATAAAGTCAGCTGTACAGACAGTCCTCGGGTTATGTCGGACTCTACGCACGTCGTTTTATTTATTAAAAAAGTTCCGTCATTTCAACGTATGTACATATGTGCTTTATGTTTTTTATTATTTATTTACCACAAGTAAAGGTCAGGAATTATCTTTCTTTTAAATATTTTCTACTGTTTCCCTTCATTACTGCTGTGTCTGTGCTCCATGTGAGTGACGTAGGTGCTTATGTAGGTGGGTTCCGACTTACGGAGAAAATCGAGGTATGCTGTGCAGTAGGAACAGATCTCCGACGTAACCCGAGGACCTACTGTAATCCTTTTATTTGCTGGCCTTCAATTTGTAAAAAAAAAAAAAAGGAAAGAAAAGAAACAGCAACATCTGTGAAGCCCAGCGAAGTAAAGCGATGCCTGCACTATACACCCACTCGGGTGCCCTCACAGACGCTGGGTCTTTCCTGGAGCCAATCACCAGGCCGTGGCACTGAGGATGCACCCGCTGGCCTGGCTGCTGCCCTGCTCTCTCACCCGCCTGTAAGGACCGCAAGGCAGCTCGCCTTCCCCAGGGAGGGCCAACATTGTGCCTTCATGGTACAGCCCAGGGGTGGGCAAACTTTCTGACTCGAGGGCCACAATGGGTTCTTAAACTGGACCGGAGGGCCGGATCAAAAGCATGGATGGAGTGTTTGTGTGAACTAATATAAATTCAAAGTAAACATCATTACATCAAAGGGTACGGTCTTTTTTTTTTTTAGTTTTATTCATTTCAAACGGGCCGTAGTTTGCCCACGGCTGGTACAGCCTTTAGCCTCAGGGCTGTATTAATGCTGCTTGCTGCTATCATACAATCTAGAGAAATATTAACCATCTTGCTATTTCATAATATACTAGAGGCATGCATTGGGGGGGCAGGGGGAGGGTTTCCCTCAGCCCAGCCTGCACACTCTCAATCCAGGACCCCTCAGGGGATATCAGACTGCCCGTTTAGGCCCGAAACCAGCAGTCAGACATCCCTCTTGCATATGGGACCACTGGCTCCAAACTGCTGGCCTGCCTACCTGCCTGATCGCCCCTAACCACTCACCTCCCTGCCTGATCGCCCCTAACAGCCTCTGCCTGCCTGATCGCCCCTAACCACTCACCTGCCTGTCTGATTGCCCCTAAGCACTCGCCTGCCTGCCTGATTGCCCCTATCCACCTCTGCCTCGGCCCCTGCAGCTTCGTCAGGAAGATTGTTCGGCTGTCCAGTCTAATTAGCATATTACGCTTTTATTATTATAGACTAGAGGCCCGGTGCACAAAAATTTGTGCAATCAGGGAGGCGGTCCCTCAGCCCGACCTATGCGCTCTTGCAGTCTGGGACCCCTCAGAGGATGTCCACCTGCTGGCTTAGGCCCGCTCCCTGGGGGATCGGGCCCAAGCTGGCAGTCAGACAGCCCTCTGGCAGCCCAGCAGCCCTCGGGGGATGTCCACTTACCAGCAGGGAGCAGGCCTAGCTGCAGTCGGACATCCTTAGTGCTGCGGAGGCGGCAGGAGAGGCTCCCGCCACCACCGCTGTGCTGGCAGCCATCAGCCTGGCTTGTGGCTGAGCAGAGCTCCCCCTGTGGGATCGCACTGACCACCAGGAGACAGCTCCTGCATTGAGCATCTGCCCCCTGGTGGTCAGTGTATGTCATAGTGACCAGTCATTCCGTGGTTAGGGTCGATTTGCATATTACCCTTTTATTATATAGGATAGAGGCCTGGTGCACGGGTGGGCCCGGCTGGTTTGCCCTGAAGGGTGTCCCGGATCAGGGTGGGGGTCCCGCTGGGGTGCCTGGCCAGCCTAGGTGAGGGGCTGATGGCTGTTTGCAGGCTGGTCACACCCCCTTCAGGGTGGGGGTCCCCGCTGGGGTGCCTGGCCAGCCTGGGTGAGGGGCTGATGGCTGTTTTCAGGCTGGCCAAGCCCGCTGGCATTGGAAGCTCCCAGCCTCTCCGTGTTTTTTCTTTTTATTCTGGGATTTATTTACCTTCTATAATTGAAACTTTGTAGCCTTGAGAGGAGCTCAGAGGGGGAGGGAAGCTTGGCTTCCTCCATCGCCAGGGGCAACCCAAGTCTCCTGCTCACTCCAGCTCCGTGGTCACAGCCGGCTGAAAGCAGGTATCTGGGGTTTATTTATCTTCCATAATTGAAACTTTGTTGCCTTGAGTGGAGCTCAGAGCCGGCCGCAGCAGGCGGGAAGCTTGGCTTCCTCCATCACTGGGGCAACCAAGCCTCCTGCTTGCTCCAGCTCTGTGGCTGCTGGCCGCTATCTCGGTTGGATTAATTTGCGTATAGTCGCTCTGACTGGCTGGTGGGCGTGGCTTGTGGCATAGCAAAGGTATGGTCAATTTGCATGTTTGTCTTTTATATTATTATAGATTACTCAGGTTCACAATATTGATGACTTTTTGCTGATTGGAGCTGATGAGTAGCAAATTCTATAAATGCTTTAACATTTATAAGTAGCAAAATTTAATTCTATAAGTAGCAAATTCTATAAATGCTTTAACAAGACAAGTGAACCAAAGCATGAGAAATAAACTCCCCAAACTCTGGGCTCCCCACTCAATGATGTTCCAGTGGTTTGAAGTGTATCAAGATATCCTCTTAGGCTGGTGTGGCTCAGCACTGAGCACAGGCGCAGGAACCAAGACGCCGCAGGTTCAATCCTCAGAGGGCACATGCCCGGTTGCAGGAGCAGCCAATTGATGATGCTCCTTCCTCTCATCGATGTTTCTCTCTCTATCCCTCTCCCTTCCTCTCTCTCTAAAAATCACTAAGAACATTTTTCTTTAAAAGATATGCCCTTCAAGGTGGGAGTTGCTGCACCTTGCAACACCTACAACGTAGAGGCCCAACGCTTGACAGGCCTTGCTGGATTGGAGGCAGCACACCCCACCAAGTGCCAATTTGATCCACCAACAGAGGCACCACACGGCTTGGTTCCCAGTGGGACCCGAGCAGTAAGTTCAGGCAGCACCACCACTCAGACCTCATGGTCCAGAGAGACCACTGGTGCTCAAAGGCTGAGGCAACAGGAGGCCCCACGGAGCCTCGGGCAATACAATGGGAAAAACAGCACAGACCTCCAGGATTCTGGGCAGAGCAGACCAAATCTGCACCCTCTTCTACAGATAGTTACTCTTTTCAGAAACACCTTGTTTGCTGTTCTTGGACTTAGTGGAGACGACACACCATTCATAGGACAACAGTTGACCAGAAAGCCCGAGCATCCCATCGCAAACCGAGTGCCGTCTGCCTTGCTTGGCCTCGAGGCGGGTGGGTGCAGCGGCCAGAGTGGGAAAGGCATGTCCAGAAGTGCTGTGACCTGAGCAGGCGGCTCAGGCTTCCTCACCAGAGACCTGTGCATGGCCCCCGTGACCAGGGAACTGAGGAGATCCTGCCGGACGCAATGGAGGAAACCCTGGGAGTGGAGCTTGGGAGCAGGAAATGGGTTACCCGCTTTGGAGAGAGGCCACAGTGCTGATCTACACGGGCTTATGGGAAGTCGCCAACAGCCTGGATGGACTGTCAAGGACTTAGAAGAGGGTTTAAAGGTCAGTGACCAGATCTGAATGGGGACAGAGCTCTCAAAACGGGCAGCCAGTGCAGGCACCTGCATCCCAGAGCCCAGAACTCATCCCGCGGTGCCCTTCACAACCAGGGGCACAGAGGCACGCCTCAGGGCGCAGGTCGTGTCCTTCCTGGTCCCCGTGCTGCTTGGCAGACTCGTGAAGAAGTGGCCATCAAGACAGAGGTGGCTTGGTGGTTGAGCATTGACCCATCAACCAAGAGGTTCAATTCCCAGTCAGGGCACGTGCCTGGGTTGCCGGGTTGCAGGCTTGATCCCCAGAAGGGGGCCAGCCATCGATCGAAGTGTTCCTCTCATCGATGATTCTATCCTTCTCCCTTCCTCTCTCTCAAAAATCAATAAAAATGTATTTTTTTTTTTAAAAAGACTGAGGAGGAAGCTAGAATAAGGTCAATGCCACAGACCTGCCCTGACCCAGGCTCGCCAGGCTGATTGCTGAGCGCTGCCTGGCGGCACTGACTCCCGGACAGCACATCCGAGCGGGCCAGCTGGCTGCCTGGTGGCAGGTGGACCACACGGGCCCTTTCCATCTGGAGGTGGCAGACTCTCTTCCCTGGAATATTCCACAGGTGAATTCGCCTGCCCTGCCTGTCCGCACCTCTGCCCGTTGCTGTGACATTCCACCAGGAAATGCGGGAGGCAGCTGCGCTCACAAGCCTGTCAGGTGAAGGGTATGGCTGAGGCTCTGTCTTCTCTTCTGGGCCGATGTGTGTGCTTTTAACCAGAAGCCATTCCATGATGCCAGCTCCCCACGGCCAAAACACAGACGGGTCCCAGGCTCGGGCTGGAGTGGGGCTGGGACTGCTCAGCTTTATGCTGAGGAACCTCACCACACGCTCTTCTTCCTCCTGCCTGGAGGGGGGCTCTGCTGCCTCAAGGGGGGGCCCGAGAGGGGAGCTCCCTGGAGACACCTGCTCTGTGTGAGTGGAAGCGACGGCTGCCCCATGGGGACGGGAGGGCTCGGCAGGATGCCCAGGGAGAGAAGTAGAGGAACTTGCAGCGAAGGCACCCAGGAAAGAGCACCCCAGAAAGGCAGGCTCGGGCCCGACAGGTGCACAGCAGCCGAGGTGCTGAACCGGGAGCAGGTGCCGGGGAGGGGCCAGGTGCCAGCTGCCTGTGGCCATCACAGAGCTGACAGCGGGAGCCGCCAAGTCTTCTCTCCACTGACTTACACCTGCTCTTCCCACCACCCGAGAGCTTTCCCACACCACAGTCAGGGCTCGGCATCGGACTCCGCACGGCGTCAGTCAAAGGAGCCCTCAGGTGCCTCATGCACAGCGAAGGCCAAGTCTGGCGTCCGGGCACGTCACCATCCTGCCCCCGCGAGGAGGACAGGCCAGACAGAGAATGAGGTGGCACAGGCTGCGCGGGCGCCCACACCCGAGCACGGAGGCTCCCAGGCGGCCTGCACCCTGGGACTCTCATCCCAGCCCCTCCTTGGCTGCTGGTGTGAGGAAGGGGAGAGCCAGCCAATGTTCGGAATAAAATGTTGCTTTATTATGACATAGAATGACTACAAGCATGAAGGGAGGGAAGGGCCACGTATTCCTCACACAGCAGGTGAAAGAGGCGCAGACATCTTGGCACAAACCCACGGCACGATCACTGGGATCTTTTTCTTACAATGTGTGTTTTGGTTATAACAGGCCCCAATCACTTCAATTATTAAAAAACAAGCAAACACAAACACACGCACAAAACCCCAGCCGGCAATTTTACACGGTGAAAGCGCACACACCAAGCCAAACCACAAAAGCTCCTGGGCCGGCTAGGCCCCTGCAGGAGGGGCCG